ACAGCTGTGCCTTGGTGTCATCCCCGGTAATGGACTCTCCCAGGCGCTCCTACTCCTCCCCCTCCCCCTGGCTGGCTCCCAGACTGACCCTGTCACCACTCACCCCTTGGCCAGTGGAGGAGGAGAATCCAGCCTTCTGGAATCAAAAGGCAGCGGAGGCCCTGAACACAGCCAAGAAGCTGCAGCCCATTCAGACAGCAGCCAAGAACCTCATCCTCTTCCTGGGGGACGGTGAGCGTGCAAGGCCTGCCCCCCGCCGTGGCCCTCACGTGCCTGCACCCACTGCAGGTCCAGGCCCAATCAGGGGCTTGGGCCTGACAGGGTTCTGTTCCTTCAGGAATGGGGGTGTCTACGGTGACAGCCACCCGGATCCTGAAAGGACAGTTGGAAGGTCAACCGGGGCCTGAAACACCCCTGGCCATGGACCACTTCCCATACCTGGCCCTGTCCAAGGTGAGTGCTGGGCCACCCGAGTCCTCCACAGCAGGAAGTGGGGAAGGGGCTGGGGACACTGGCAGACAGAAGGACCCAGGAGAGCCTGAACCTTGTTAGGAGCCTAGGTAAATGGGGATAACTCCCGGGCCTGGGTCCCAATGGGATCCTGCCCCAGATGAGAACTGAGCTCTCTGCCCCAGACATACAACGTGGACAGACAGGTGCCAGACAGTGCAGGCACGGCCACAGCTTTCCTGTGCGGGGTCAAGACCAAATACAGAACCATTGGCTTGAGTGCGGGTGCCCGCTACAACCGGTGCAACACGACGCATGGCAACGAGGTCCTCTCCGTGATGTACCGTGCCAAGAAAGCAGGTGAGCTTGGAGCTAGCTGGGCTTTGGGTCAAGGTCAAGAGCAGGCCTCTGACCTCTGCCACCTCCAGGGAAATCTGTGGGAGTGGTGACAACCACATCAGTGCAGCACGCCTCACCCGCCAGCGCATACGCACACACGGTGAACCGCAACTGGTACTCAGATGCCAACATGCCTGCCTCGGCACGGGAGGAAGGCTGCACAGACATTGCCACCCAGCTCATCTCCAACATGGACATTGATGTGAGCTTCCGTAGCAAGGGGAGGGGGCTGGCGGAGGGGTAGGCCTGCCAGCATCTTGGTGGGTAAGGGATGTAAAACGTCCAGCCCAGAAGGGGCCCTTCCCATCGACTGAGGGTTCACTGAGGGCCGTCTGGGAGGAGGGGACCCATCAGGCTCCAAGTCCATCTGGCCCGATCATTCGACCACAGGTGATACTTGGTGGGGGCCGGAAGTTTATGTTTCCCAAGGGGACCCCAGACCCAGAATACCCAACTGACACCACCCAGGAGGGAACCAGGCTGGATGGACGGAACCTGGTGCAGGAGTGGCTGGCGAAGAACCAGGTGATATGGGCACCCACAAGCAGGGGACAGGGCAAGAACCAGGGGAAAGCTGTGGGTGTCAGGATTTAGTGCTAAGAGCTGACCATGTCGCTCCAGGGGTCCCGATATGTTTGGAACCGCACTCAGCTGATGCAGGCTTCCCAGGACCCATCAGTGACCCACCTCATGGGTAATGACCCCCACTTTCTGACCTGGCACCCCTCAGATGGCCTGCATTGGTGCACGTGTGCCATGACTCCTCTCACCACCCATCTCATGGTCACCACGGGCTCTTTCTCTCTCAGGCCTCTTTGAGCCTGAGCACTTGAGATACGAGGCCTACCGAAACCACACCCAGGACCCCTCCTTGCTGGAGGTGACAGAGGTGGCCCTGCACATGCTGAGCAGGAACCCCCAGGGCTTCTTCCTCTTTGTGGAAGGTGAGTCTTGGGGCCTGGCAGAACAGAGGGGTGGAGGACCCAGGGCAGGACCAAGAGTCACCCCTCCCACCTGCTCTTTGCAGGGGGCCGCATTGACCACGGTCACCACGAAGGCGTAGCGTATAAGGCACTGACTGAGGCCGTCATGTTCGACTCTGCCATTGAGAAGGCGAGCCAGCTCACCAGTGAGCGGGACACACTTACCCTTGTCACCGCTGACCACTCCCACGTCTTCACTTTTGGTGGTGCCACACATCGGGGGACCTCCATCTTCGGTAGGCCAAGGGACAGTGGCAACTATTGCATCAATTTTATGGCAGAAGTCTCCCTGAGCCTTAGTTCCTGTCTGTCGAGGGGCGTAATGACTGCACCTGCCTTGTTGAGATCTCAGCATGAAGACAGTGACAGTCCTGGCCGGGCCACATATAGTCCAGTCGGAGTACTGACGCCTCTCTCTCTACATGCAGGACTGGCCCCCTACAAGGCCCTGGACGGCAGTGCCTTCACTTCCATCCTGTATGGGAATGGCCCAGGCTACAAAGTGGACAATGGTGTCCGGTCCGATGTCACGGAAAACGAGAGCGGTGAGTGCATTTGGGTTGCCCAACGGGGTTCCAGGCAGAGGGAACTCTTGGTAGAGACCATCGCCCTGAACGCCTGGTCTTGCCAGGCTCCCCGACGTACCGGCAGCAGGCGGCAGTGCCGCTGGCAGCCGAGACGCACGGCGGCGAGGACGTAGCGGTGTTCGCGCGCGGCCCGCAGGCGCACCTGGTGCACGGCGTGCAGGAGCAGAGCTACATCGCGCACGTCATGGCCTTCGCCGGCTGCCTGGAGCCCTACGCCGCCTGCAACCTGCCGCCCCCTGCCGACCACAGCGGCACCTCGGGCCGCACTGCTCAACCTGGCCGGGCCACTACCCTGCTGCTCTCTCTACTGGCAGCCACTTTACTGCTGGACACACACTAGGCTCCCGCCACTCCATGACCACTCCGTGCCTGCTGTGTCCAAACCAGGCCTCCACCAATGGATCTCCAGCCCCGACATGGTGCTCCCCATCTCCTTCCTACCCCTGCTCCTGCTGAGTTTCCCAAACCCCAACTCCAAGTTTCCAACTCAGACCCAACTCAGCCTGTCAGTCCCAGTGCCTCCACCATGGGCACAGCTCTCCAATCCACAGCTCTCCTCAGAGCAGTAATCAGCCTGACCGTAGGGGGCACGTCTGTCCCAGCTCACCCCCAACACAATAGGGTGACTTGGAGGCAGGCAATGCCAGCCACAGCCTTCCTGAGGCTATGTCACCTTCCAGAAGAGGTGGTGGCTCCAACCACCTAGTCGCTGCTGAGTCTGTACCTTGAACCAAGTAGAACCTGGGAATCCCCACAGGGTGAGGACTGGACAAGACAGTGGCCTGCCTTTTTTGGCTCCAGTCTCTTCAGCACCTCAGACTGGGAGCCTGTAGAGGCTTCTGAGGATGAGGGATCCCCCACCAGGGTTTTGACACAGCCCTCACCGCCCTCACTGGCCACCTCCACACCCGGCACCCTTCACAGGGCCCAGAGGTTCCATTAGGATGAATGCCACCACCGCCCAGCATGCACAAAGTTTCTGAGCAAAGAGCATTTCCTGCTCTCTTGGGACCATCATTCCAGGACACAGAACAAAATAAACTGCTGTACAATGTAAAAGCCAATAATCCTTTCTAGAAAGTCCTGAGTGCCTGGTGGCCCAGTACAGGTAGTGGGGGGGGAGGGCGGTTGGTTAGAATCAGGAGGCCAGGGAGAGGCCACCTGAGGGTGGACAGTTTAGTTAGGTAAGGATCCTGGAAAAACAATCCTTGAACAGTGCAGAGGGGCAAATGCACAGGTGTAGGGTGACCATGGACTATAGGACTTGCACCTGACAAAGAAGAGACAAACAGGGCCTGCAACAGCCTCTGCACGCTGGAGCTCCCGCACCTGATCTTGCTGAGAGGATGGGTGGGGCACTACAGCAGCAAGACTTCCAGGGAAGGAGGCCTGGTGAGGAGCAACCTGGAGCCTCAGTGATGTCTGACTCCACACTGAGCCTGGGCTGGTGGCAGCAGGAAGCACTGACGCTCCCAGTTCTCAAGGCCACGACAGGGGTGGACACCCAGTTTAGCACCCACATTCCTGCCACTCCCACGCTGCACCCAGGGCAGCCTGACCTTGGCTTTGCTGGCAGCTGAGAAGTGCTCAGGTACAAACAGGGCACCAAGAGCCATGCCAAAAGCGGTGGTCGGCCTGGCCCAGGCACACTCGGGCCAGCTGCTGGGGCTTGTCACTGCCCTCCATCTCATAAGTCAACTCATGCAGTACCTCACAGAACGGTGGTGACAAGTGCTCACTCAGGACAATCACCACACGCCCGGCACAGTTGTGCCGGATCCTGGGGCCAAGGGAAGCAGGGGGTTGTCCAGACAGACATGCAGGTGGATTACACCAGGCCTCCCCCACACATGCTCCCAGCTGGGCTGGAACCCAGGACTCAACCTGCCCAACTAACAATGGGTGAGGGGCCAATCCAGATATGAAGAGGCTCAACCTGAAGACCCCGAGTCCCAGTCACAGAGCACAACCCACTCCTGCTACTGACCAGAGCCCCAGTGGGCCAGCACCACTTCCCCCTTCCTGTATGGTGGGAGACTGGCCAGATTCCTGCTTCACACTTGCTCCCCCTAGGTGGACCTGGGGCAGCACAACCTGGGCCACACCTTCCCTGGGAGCTGTCCAGACTTAGCCTCTCCATCCCCAGGGGAGGAGATGGCAGCTCAGGAGACCCCAGATTGCCCAGGATTCCAAAGGGCAGGAGGGAGCACCAGTCTCTGAACCTGGGATCTGGACTTCTATTGCAAGGCCACCACTTGCCTCCCCCAGTATGCCTTCCATGTGACCATTCAAAGGTCATCAAGCAGACAGGGCCAAGGTGAAAGGGGGAGGGGCGCCTGAGGCAAGCAGCAGGGATGGCAGTGGTGGGTGGTCTGTAGTCCCACCTGCCGGGGCTGGGGGAGCGAGTTTGGCCTGATGAGCTGGGACACCACTGCATGTAGTCCAGGCCAGCGGCAGGATCTCCTGGACCCTCTGCTCCACAGCATCGGCTCCCAAAAGGCTGACCAGACGCTCCATGAACACCCTGTATGCCGCCAGGATCTGAGCCAGGACAGGGGCTGTCCTCAAGAGGGGGACAGACCTAGCCAGGGACCATCCCTGCTGGGGCCCCAGCCTTCCCTGCGGTCCATCCCACACTCAGGCACCTTTTCACTCTCCTCATCCTGAGCTAGGTACAGGGTCCTCTCTGGCAGGGTGAGCCCATCCTGGTCAATCTGGAGAGGAAGGCAGGGATTTAGGTCAGAGGTCAGTGTGTCAGCTTCTCCAGACAGACTTCCCACCCCAATGCCAAAACAGTGAGGACCTGCCAGACATCCACTGTCACAAGCCCCAGCATCACACAGAGAGTAGCCTCTTCCTGCACGCAGGGCAGCTGGTCAGAGTCCCAGGCCCCCAGGCCCAGCCTGGAGACTCAAGGCAGAGGCCACTGCCTACCCCTTCCCTTTGCCTACTTGTGGGGACATGCGCGGGCCCGTGCACTGGGAGTTGGGGGTCCCTGGCATTCTTGGCCTGCCCTTGCCTGGTCCCTCACTGCTCCCACCGCCCGCGGGAGGGCTGGGAACTGTGGCTCCCGCCGCTCCACTAAACACTGCACTTCCTCCCGGGCAATGACTTGCGCCCTCCTCCCGCCGGCTCCTGCCGGCTCGCCATCCGCTGCTGCAGCTGCCCTGGACACGCGCCCCGGCTTCAGGGCCGCGGGGACACGCCTGCTCCTCGCAGCGCCCAGGGTCCCCCGCCCCCGGCGAGGTGCGGGGACACTCACGCGGATGACGTAGCGCGAGGAGTTCCTGTCGTCCAGGCTGACGGTGAGCGAGAAGAGCGCGGCCGCGCTGTACACGCCCTGCGCCTTGTACAGCAGCCGGTTGAGGTCCCAGCGTGCCGCCGTCCCCGGGCGCTCGGCCGCGCCGCCCAGGTCCCAGCCCCCGCAGTCCTCGATGACCTCGAGCATGGGCCGCGGCCCGAGCCGCTCGATCTCGCGCATGTCGAGGCACGAGCGGAAGAAGGCGCGCACCTTGCGCTGCGCCGAGCCGCCCGGGCCTCCCTGGGGCCGCGCCAGCAGGCGCCGCAGGCGCTCCTCGTTCTGCTCGCCGATGGCCGCGATGGTGCCATAGGTGAGCTTGTCGTCGGGGATGGCGTGGCGTCGCAGCCAGCCGCCGCACGCAAACGAGTAGAAGTCCTGGCACGGGTCGATGCTGGCGTCCAGGTTGGCGGCCAGGAAGCGGGCGGCGCGCGCGAAGGCCTTGAGCAAAACTGCCACTCACTGTTCTGTAGTTGGTCCTTCGTTGTCCACATCCCTTTTATTTCATTGCCTGTGACCCTCAGATCTGCTTCTGCCTAAAAACCCCACCTCCATCCAGGTCCTGCAGCATGGTGCATTTGGAAAGGCCTATATGCGTGGGAAAAGGTTCCAACTAATGCAGAATCCACCCTGGCAAAGACCTAAAGGTCCCCCCGGGGGTACTAATGTGCAGAAACAACAGTCCCTCAAATCAGAGACAGGAAGCATCCACCAGAAAAGTCAAGACTGGGCACCTCCATGACATAGCCTTGGGTAAAAATCCTGGAAAAGTTGTGACATTTGTTATCTAGGTTGCATGTACCCACCTGGTCAAAGTGACATTGTTTAAATAGCCAACGCTGGCAACATTGCCAATGTTCGTCAACAGGAGAGGGAAGAACGTTGCATTTTCATAAATGGGAAACTTACAGCAGTGAGAATGACAGTGCTTTCCCTTAATTGAACAAATGACAGGCTGTTGTAGGTGTGGTTTCAGACCTCCACAATAAGTGAATTGCACGCTATAGCAAGCCACAGCATTTTTTCATTCCCTAGTACATACTGACTATTCTGCTAAGTCTGTAATAGCATTGTGTCTAAAACAATGTTTGTATCTTAACTTAAAAATAATGGTATTGCTAGGGCTGGAGGCGTGGCTCAAGTGATAGAGCATTTGCCTAGCAGGTCCTGAGTTCAAACCTCCAGTACCACAGAGTAAATAAATAAATTTTAAAATGTGTTAATGCTTAAAAAGAAATGCCAGGAATTGCCGGGCATGGTAGCATATGCCTGTACTCCCAGCACTCAGGAGACTAAGACAGCAAAATCTGGAGACTGAGGTCAGCCTGGACTACATTGGATAGACCCTGTCTCAAATCAAACAGACAATACTGGGTATCATCATAGCCTTCAGCACATAATTCTTTTGGGGGATGATTGTGGAGGAGGTCCCCATTTTAAGGAAACATGGCAAACAAAGAAATAGGAAAGAACACATGGAATGTGGGGGGAGGCCCAGATGGACCAGAGATGTTCTCATGTGTGAGAGATTCAAACTGTGATTCCAAGAAGAGCCAACCAATCAGTAAGGTCCACAAAAATGGAGGTGAGCAATCAAAAGTGGCCTAACTTGAGGTATAACCCTCACTCTAAAACCTGTCATTGTGTGCTAGGTTCCTCAGCTTAGCCACTCACCATTCTATCTCCTTTTAATGACGTCCAGATAAATCTTTGCTTCTTCCACTCTCTGTCTTGGTAAATTCTTTTACCAACTGGGGCTCCAAAATCCATGACATTGATGTTTACAGGTGCTGAGCGATCAGGGTGGTGGCTTCTAAAGCTTGGGATGGCTGTGTCAATTTCTTAGAAGAATTCTCCCATCAGGTTTGCTGCATCGTCTGCTCTCCTTTTACAGAAACATTTCTCAGTAGCGTGCCATGCTGTCAAACAGCATTTTACCCTCAGTACAACTTCTTTCAAAATGAGACTCAATCTGCTCAAACCCTGGCATTGCTTTAGCAACTAAGTTTTTATATTCTAAATCCTTCATTGTCATTAACAATGTTCACAGCATCTTCACCAGGAGTTGATTCCATCTGAAAAACCACTTTATTTAATAGGCAAGTATGATGGTGAACACCTGTGTTCCCAGCTCTCGGGAGACAGAGTCAAGGAAGAAACGAAAAGAGTGGGGAGAGGGAGAGGAAGGGAGGGAGAAGAGAGGGAAGAAAAGGAAGAGAAAGGGAGAGGAAAAAGAAAGAGACAATTTTATTTGTGGTCTCCATAGGAAGCTTCCCCTTATCTGAAATTTTTTGTCATAAAGGGCTAGAGGTGTAGCTCAGTCTAGCATGCATGAGACCCTGGGTTCAATCCTCAACACCACACAAAAATAACAAGATTCCAAAGTCAAAATTGCTTCTTGAAATTGCCATGAGCACTAGCAGCTAGTGGCTCAAAGCCTGTAATCCTAGCTAATCAGGAGGCAGAGATCAGGAGGACTGAGGTTCGAGGCCAGCCCAGGCAAATAGTTCAAGAGGCTATACCCAACACAAGGAAAGAGGGCTAGTGGAGTGGCTCAAGTAGTACAGCACCTGCATGGCAAATGTGGGGCCCTGAGTTCAAACCCCAGTACTGCCAAAAAAAATAAATAAATAACCAACACAAGGAAAGGGCTGGTGGGGTGGCAGAGAGGACCTGAGTTCAATCCCAATACTGCAAAAAAATGTTTTTAATTTCCCCTTTTTTTTTTAACAAAGCTTTTTTTTCTTTTGACAGTACTTGGGGTTTGAACTCAGGGACTTGTGCTTGCTAGGCAGGCGCTCTACCACTTGAGCCACACTCCCAGCCCTAATTTCTCCTTGATCCATGGGCTGCAGGATAGACATTGTTAGCAGGCATGAAAACAGTATGAACCTCATTGCACATCTCCAACAGAGCTCTTGCGTGGCAGGCTGCATTGTCAATGAGAAGTAATATTTTGAAAGGAGTCTTCTTTGTCTGATCAGTAGGTCTGAAAAGTGGACTTAAATATTCAGTTAACCATATTGTAAACAGATGTGCTATCGTCTCTGCTTTTTGCATGGGCAGTGTAGATTTTGAATAATTAAGAGCTCTAGAATTTGGAGAAAGCCATGAGCACTGCCTTGGTCCCTGACAAGAGTCAGCCTGTTTTTGGAACTTCTGCAGTGGAGCATAACTTCTCTGTAGCTATAAAGGTCCTAGGTGGCCTCTTCTCCCAGTTGAAGCTGGCTCACGCTCACTGACAATCCTGGACAACTCCTTGCAGCCCGTACACCATTGTCGAACAATTAGGGTAGTTAGATTTCTGATGACATGTATTGCCCCATCGCAGGAAAGTAGAAGGCCACAGAGAGGAACCACCATTTGGAGTCTACTCCCATGTCCGGAGAGGGAGCAGGAAATGTTTCTCCTCCCCCCACTTCTCCCTACTTTCTCCTGTTATACCAAATAAATCCTTGCTGAAACTTCCACCTGATGAGACTCCTTGCTGTGAGACACCTGGAAATGCTTTTCATGTTTGCAGATCTCAAGGACCTGTTTTGTGTGGAAATGGGGAAGCTGTGGGAACCCCTGAATTCACCCCTCCTCTGGTAACTGTTTGATTTCCATCCAGACAACTAACATATTAACAATAAGACGGTTTCAATTTTTAAAAAAAGTCATTTGTGAGTTTGTGGGAGTGAGATGGGGGTAGGAAGGCACAAAGGGAAGAATACAAAGGAGCCAGAGAGCAGGCACAGCACTGCATCCGGGTACATTTTGCCAAACATCCTGCTCCACCATTGTCCTGGAGTAAGGGCGGACCATGGTCGAGGCTACATCTTGGTATAGCAGCCAAGGATCCCCAGCAACCACCCCAACAGGAAGGACTTTGCAAACCCTAGAGTTAGCTGGAGGCCTCATCCACATGTCCTTACAGCTGTGGGTTTATGCACATAGCCTCCCTCACATCGCCACCTTGGCTCTGAGGACGCTGTGTTAGGTATACCGTTCTCCTTTCTCCGGTTCTTGCAAATGCTCTCCCATTTTTAAGAACTCTCCACATTAAGTACCTACCCTTACATAGTCATTGAATCCTGTCCATCACTGAATCCTATCCATGAAAGTGTCTAGGACCCGACTGCTCAGTACACTTGACTACATGGTCAACTGCCTGCCCTTAATCTCCCATGGGAGGGTGAACTTTCACTTTTGCATTTGCTCCAAATAAATCTTGCTCTGTTAAAACCCCCGTGTGTCCACCCCTGATTCTTTCTTCTATTTTTTTTCTTTTTGTTGGTACTGGAGTTTGAACTCAGGGCCTCGTACTTTCTAGGCACGTGTTGTACCACTTGAGCCATGCCTCCAGACCCCTGAATTCTTTCTTCATTGAGACTGAGAACTTTCCATTTTTCTCCACTGACAGGCATAGCTTTTATTTCTTCCGAGAACTTTTCTGTTTTGCCTAGCACATGTAAGTCCCTGGGTTCAATCTCCAGCACTGAAAAACAACAACAAAAAGAATCCCAAAAAACAAAAAACCTTTTTGTTTGCATTCACAAATTGGCTGTTTGAGGCAAGAAGCCTTTTTTTGCCCTGAGATAGCTTTCAATATGCCTTCCTCACTAAGCTTAATCATTTCTAACTTTTAGTTAATTAATTAATTAATTAATTAATTTTATTTATTTATTTTTTGGTTGTTGGGGTTTAAACTGAGGGCCTCACGATTGCTAGGCAGGCACTCTAACTCTTGAGCAGCCCTTTTGTGTGTGTGATGTGTTTTTTCAAGATAGGGTCTTGTGAACTATTTGTCTGGGCTGATCTCTGTCTCCCAAGTAGGTAGGACTACAGTCCTGAGTCCCGGGTTTTAATTGAGATGAAGGTCATGTGACCCTTCCTTTCACTTGAATACTTAGAGATCACCACACAGTTATTAACTGGCCTGATGTCAGTATTTCGGAGTCTCCAGGGATAGGAGGTCCAAGGAAAGTTACAGAGGTGGAGAGTAGCTGGTCAGTGGAGCTGTCAGAACACCCACAATGTATCCATTAGGGTCACCATCTTCTATGGGTGCCATTCGCGGCACCCCACAATGAACATTACCACCAAAGATCACACATCACCCTAACAGACAGAATAAGCAAAACGTTTGGTTAGTCAGACATTTGAAATGTCACAAGTATTACAAAACGGTGACACAGAGACCTAAGTGAGCACGTGCCATTACAATGGCACCGATACTCCAGGCAGGGTTGCCACCAACTTTCAATTGGTGAGAGCTTAGAGTCATGGTGAAGGCAATGAACTGCGGCAGGCCTGCAAATGAACCCCCCAAACCGAAGTGCAGATCACAGCACGCGTGCTGTAGGCCATGGCTTTTCTTTACATGAAGTTCAAAAACAGGCAGGACTGCACTCTACGGGGGCAGAAGACTAGGAAAAGCAACTGAGTGTTGTGCAGTCAAACTCAGCCCAGCTTGAGGCTGCCTCTGCACTGGAGTCCTTACAGAAGGACCTCTGGGACCTGCAGGTGGCTGGGTACCTTACACTAAGAAAACCTACCTTAGTGGGGTATGCTTGTAACACACAGTTCAGTGCCAGCTGATTACAGACGCTGAGCTCCATCCCTCCCAGGAGGCCACTGATTCAAAGAAGGCCAAGGGCGAGGCCGAGCTGGACCAAATCATGCTGTCTCTGTGCCCCGCTTCCTTTTTCTACCCACAAGTATGGTCCCCAGTTCTCACAGTGTCCTCTGGTCTGAGGGCTGCCCCAGTTCTGAATCACTCTTTGTTCAAGTAAACTCTGTTCAGTTTAATTCACCTACAGCTTTTCCTTTTAACAGATTGGTGCAGTAGGCAGATGTGAAGCAAAGACCCTCTACCCCGGGCCAGGGAGGGAGCGAGAGAAAGCGCTTGCTGGGGCTCACCGTGCCATCGCCATCGTCTCTCTGGAGTTCAGAGCTCTAAGAATTTGTTTCAAGGGTTTTGTTGTTGTTGTTGTTGTTCTGGGTTTTGTTTTGTTTTGAGCTAGGGTCTTGCTATATAACCTAGGTGATCTCCACCTGATGATCCTCCTGCCTCTACTTCCCAAGTGCCAGCCATGGGCCACCATGTCCAGCTCCCAGGCTCTGTTTTGAGTTCTTTCTTTGAGTCAGGTGCCAGAGTCTCACGCCTGTAATCCTAGCTACTCAGGAGGCAGAGATCAGGAGGATTGGGGTTCAAAGCCAGTTCAACAGACCCTATCTCGAAAAAAAAAATCACAAAAAAGGGCTGGTGGAATGGCTCAAGGTGTAGGCTCTGAGTTCAAGTCCCAGTACCGCAAAAAGAAAAGAGTTCTTTCTTTGAGTGTGTGTGTGTGGCAGGGGAGGGGTGGGGAGGGGGAGATTAAATCCTGTTTGAGTTCAGAATCAGTGATGGAAACAGGACTGAGTCCTTCACAGGGTCTCAGGTATCCGTGGGTCAGACACAAACTGGATGAGATCCATCCAGGGTCAAATTGGATTAAAGTACCTGGATCCAGTTAAGAAGCCTTGGGTAGGTTTTTGGTTTTGCTTCTGGTTTTGCGTTTTATTTTATTCTGAACTCAGGGCTTCACGCTTGCTAGGCAGGCACTCTACCACTTAAGCCACTCTGCCAGCCCTTTTTTTGTATTGAGTATTTTCGAGATAGGATCTCGTGAACTATTTGCCCAGGCTGGTTTCAAACTGCAATCCTCCTGAGTAGCAAGGATTAGAGATGTGAACCAGTGGCACCCAGCTGGTTTTATTTTTGTAATGGAGTTATCTAAACCCAAGGAGTCTGGATTTTAGATAAAATAATCACGTGTAAGACTTTTTTAGAGACATGGGTGAAGCTCACCAAAAACAACCTAGTGACACAGTGGCCTCAGTAGGGAAAACTTAGCCAAAACAAAATTGCTCATTGGAAAAGAAAAAAAAAAAAAAAACAGTAAGTGCTATGGTTTGGATGTGTTTTGAGTGTTTCAGTGTGGTAAACTTAATTCCTATCAGAGAGCTGACTGCGGTGTTTACAGGTGGGGCCTTGGGAAGTGATTAGGAGTGGATAGTCCTTTGCAGTGGAGTCCTCAAGATTAAATCCTGGTGGCTTCTTAAGAAGAGTGAGTAGCATGCCTTTGTACATGTCTATAATCCCAGCTCCCGGGAGGCTGAGACAGGAGGATCATGAGTTCAAGACCAGCCTGAGCTACATAGAAGATACTGCTTCAAGAAAAAAGAAAAATTCATAGAAAGTTATATACTATCTATTATAATTTTAGTTATCTTCAAATTTATGCAACAGAAATAACCAAATTTCCTCATTCACAGATGGTTGTTTACTCTGCTACTTTCCCAAGCAACTCTAGGCCTAAAGTGTTTTGTTTTCAGAGACTCATGGAAAGGACTCTGACAAGTTTCTGATGTCTTCAAGATTGTACTATGGGACTAGCTGAGAATCCCCAGAACTCCTGTGAAGAAACTGATTGGCTCATAAAACTCAACCCAACATCAATCAGAATAAGAGTTAATTAAAGCCAAAAGTGGTGGAGCATGCCTGTAACACCGTGGCTGTAATGCCAGCACTCAGAGGCTGAGGCAGGAAAAGTTCAAGTTTAGACACAGAGGTGGTGAGACCCTGCTTTACAAAAACAAACAAACAACTAAAAACCCAGACAGTTAAGTAAATACCAAGGAAAAGCTGTGGTAGCTGTTCATGCCAGAAGTCAGCCAGCACTGAAAATGTCAGGTATACAATTTGAACAAACTCCATATGCTTGATCCAAGACAACTCCCCTGCGATCATCTATTTAACAGCCACGCTAGGTACCTAAATCGGAAGGAAATGTTCATGGACTCAGGCCCTTGCCCAGTGCAAGGGAGGCCCCTGGGCTTGATCCCCAGCACTGCCCTAAGTAAATAAATAAATAAATACATGGATACATACATACTACAATCTATTGTAGAACAGACAGAATGAAACAATTGATAGGATTTATTGCTGGGGGTCACTATTCCAAAATTGCCAAAATGGTTTCTAACCACTGTTTGGCATGTCAAACTCATACTCCTGGGAAGATAGTCAGAACGTCAGGGGGTGCACATCAGGGGGTGACAGATGGACTTCATCCAATTGCCACCGGGGAATCAGTGTGCACTTGTCATAGGTTGCATGTTTTTGGTTCGACAAAAGCTTCCCCATGCAGGGCTGATGCCGTGGTGCTGTGATGGTGTCAGAACTCATTTCTGGGGGCTGAGTGAGGAATTATGAAAGAAATAGCTTTCTATTCTGGAGACAGGTGACCACTGTCTCCACTGCTATAGTTTGGATCTTAAATGTTTCCCCAGAGGCCCATGTATTGTAGGCTTGGTCCCAGGCTTGTGCCACTAGGTGGGGGTGGTGGAGCCTTGCAGATGTGGGGTACAGTGGAGGTCATCAGGTTGTTGGGGGTAGTGGGACACTGGCCCCTTCTTTTTCTTTCCCTCTTCACCTCCTGGCCGGGGGTGAATAATTTTGCTCCACTCCTGCCATGCTTTGCTGCCTCAGGCCCACAGCAATGGGACCAACCAACGATGGACTGAACCCTCTAAAACCTGGGGCCCAAACAAATCTTTTCACTTCATACATTGACTTTGCATTTGTCATGACGATGAAAAGCTGAGTAGCATACTAGTGACCCTCAGTCTTCCTGAGGGGCTGGAAGGACAGATGGCATTTCAAACGGAGACAGACAATGTTAGCTGGATCAGCTGGGTTGCCCTGGCCAAGGCATTACCATTGGCTTTAGTGGCGACTGGTCCTGCGTCCACTGGGAACAGGGTGACTACTGTGAATAGTTCCTGGCAGTAGGGATGGTGAAGAAAACATAAAGCCTCACTTAACAAACGGCAAAGTTTGTCTGAACTTTGGGTGCAGTGCAGTTTAGAATCAGTGAGCTGCCAGACCTCTGGAGTGTGGACAAACAGCTGCGACGCCACGCCATCCCCGACGACAAGTTCACCTATGGCACCATCACGGCCATCGGCGAGCAGAACGAGGAGCGCCTGCGGCGCCTGCTGGCGCGGCCCCAGGGAGGCCCGGGCGGCTCGGCGCAGCGCAAGGTGCGCGCCTTCTTCCGCTCGTGCCTCGACATGCGCGAGATCGAGCGGCTCGGGCCGCGGCCCATGCTCGAGGTCATCGAGGACTGCGGGGGCTGGGACCTGGGCGGCGCGGCCGAGCGCCCGGGGACGGCGGCACGCTGGGACCTCAACCGGCTGCTGTACAAGGCGCAGGGCGTGTACAGCGCGGCCGCGCTCTTCTCGCTCACCGTCAGCCTGGACGACAGGAACTCCTCGCGCTACGTCATCCGCGTGAGTGTCCCCGCACCTCGCCGGGGGCGGGGGACCCTGGGCGCTGCGAGGAGCAGGCGTGTCCCCGCGGCCCTGAAGCCGGGGCGCGTGTCCAGGGCAGCGACAGCAGCTGATGGCGAGCCGGCAGGAGCCGGCGGGAGGAGGGCGCAAGTCATTGCCCGGGAGGAAGTGCAGTGTTTAGTGGAGCGGCGGGAGCCACAGTTCCCAGCCCTCCCGCGGGCGGTGGGAGCAGTGAGGGACCAGGCAAGGGCAGGCCAAGAATGCCAGGGACCCCCAACTCCCAGTGCACGGGCCCGCGCATGTCCCCACAAGTAGGCAAAGGGAAGGGGTAGGCAGTGGCCTCTGCCTTGAGTCTCCAGGCTGGGCCTGGGGGGCTGGGACTCTGACCAGCTGCCCTGCGTGCAGGAAGAGGCTACTGTCTGTGTGATGCTGGGGCTTGTGACAGTGGATGTCTGGCAGGTCCTCACTGTTTTGGCATTGGGGTGGGAAGTCTGTCTGGAGAAGCTGACACACTGACCTCTGACCTGGAATCCCTGCCTTCCTCTCCAGATTGACCAGGATGGGCTCACCCTGCCAGAGAGGACCCTGTACCTAGCTCAGGATGAGGAGAGTGAAAAGGTGCCTGAGTGTGGGATGGACCGCAGGGAAGGCTGGGGCCCCAGCAGGGATGGTCCCTGGCTAGGTCTGTCCCCCTCTTGAGGACAGCCCCTGTCCTGGCTCAGATCCTGGCGGCATACAGGGTGTTCATGGAGCGTCTGGTCAGCCTTTTGGGAGCCGATGCTGTGGAGCAGAGGGTCCAGGAGATCCTGCCGCTGGCCTGGACTACATGCAGTGGTGTCCCAGCTCATCAGGCCAAACTCGCTCCCCCAGCCCCGGCAGGTGGGACTACAGACCACCCACCACTGCCATCCCTGCTGCTTGCCTCAGGCGCCCCTCCCCCTTTCACCTTGGCCCTGTCTGCTTGATGACCTTTGAATGGTCACATGGAAGGCATACTGGGGGAGGCAAGTGGTGGCCTTGCAATAGAAGTCCAGACTGGTGCTCCCTCCTGCCCTTTGGAATCCTGGGCAATCTGGGGTCTCCTGAGCTGCCATCTCCTCCCCTGGGGATGGAGAGGCTAAGTCTGGACAGCTCCCAGGGAAGGTGTGGCCCAGGTTGTGCTGCCCCAGGTCCACCTAGGGGGAGCAAGTGTGAAGCAGGAATCTGGCCAGTCTCCCACCATACAGGAAGGGGGAAGTGGTGCTGGCCCACTGGGGCTCTGGTCAGTAGCAGGAGTGGGTTGTGCTCTGTGACTGGGACTCGGGGTCTTCAGGTTGAGCCTCTTCATATCTGGATTGGCCCCTCACCCATTGTTAGTTGGGCAGGTTGAGTCCTGGGTTCCAGCCCAGCTGGGAGCATGTGTGGGGGAGGCCTGGTGTAACCCACCTGCATGTCTGTCTGGACAACCCCCTGCTTCCCTTGGCCCCAGGATCTGGCATAACTGTGCCGGGCGTGTGGTGATTGTCCTGAGTGAGCACTTGTCACCACCGTTCTGTGAGGTACTGCATGAGTTGACTTATGAGATGGAGGGCAGTGACAAGCCCCAGCAGCTGGCCCGAGTGTGCCTGGGCCAGGCCGACCACCGCTTTTGGCATGGCTCTTGGTGCCCTGTTTGTACCTGAGCACTTCTCAGCTGCCAGCAAAGCCAAGGTCAGGCTGCCCTGGGTGCAGCGTGGGAGTGGCAGGAATGTGGGTGCTAAACTGGGTGTCCACCCCTGTCGTGGCCTTGAGAACTGGGAGCGTCAGTGCTTCCTGCTGCCACCAGCCCAGGCTCAGTGTGGAGTCAGACATCACTGAGGCTCCAGGTTGCTCCTCACCAGGCCTCCTTCCCTGGAAGTCTTGCTGCTGTAGTGCCCCACCCATCCTCTCAGCAAGATCAGGTGCGGGAGCTCCAGCGTGCGGAGGCTGTTGCAGGCCCTGTTTGTCTCTTCTTTGTCAGGAAGCAAGTCCTATAGTCCATGGTCACCCTACACCTGTGCATTTGCCCCTCTGCACTGTTCAAGGATTGTTTTTCCAGGATCCTTACCTAACTAAACTGTCCACCCACAGGTGGCCTCTCCCTGGCCTCCTGATTCTAACCAACCGCCCTACCCCCCCCACTACCTGTACTGGGCCACCAGGCACTCAGGACTTTCTAGAAAGGATTATTGGCTTTTACATTGTACAGCAGTTTATTTTGATCTGTCTCCTGGAATGATGGTCCCAAGAGAGCAGGAAATGCTCTTTGCTCAGAAACTTTGTGCATGCTGGGCGGTGGTGGCATTCATCCTAATGGAACCTCTGGGCCCTGTGAAGGGTGCCGGGTGTGGAGGTGGCCAGTGAGGGCGGTGAGGGCTGTGTCAAAACCCTGGTGGGGGATCCCTCATCCTCAGAAGCCTCTACAGGCTCCCAGTCTGAGGTGCTGAAGAGACTGGAGCCAAAAAAGGCAGGCCACTGTCTTGTCCAGTCCTCACCCTGTGGGGATTCCCAGGTTCTACTTGGTTCAAGGTACAGACTCAGCAGCGACTAGGTGGTTGGAGCCACCACCTCTTCTGGAAGGTGACATAGCCTCAGGAAGGCTGTGGCTGGCATTGCCTGCCTCCAAGTCACCCTATTGTGTTGGGGGTGAGCTGGGACAGACGTGCCCCCTACGGTCAGGCTGATTACTGCTCTGAGGAGAGCTGTGGATTGGAGAGCTGTGCCCATGGTGGAGGCACTGGGACTGACAGGCTGAGTTGGGTCTGAGTTGGAAACTTGGAGTTGGGGTTTGGGAAACTCAGCAGGAGCAGGGGTAGGAAGGAGATGGGGAGCACCATGTCGGGGCTGGAGATCCATTGGTGGAGGCCTGGTTTGGACACAGCAGGCACGGAGTGGTCATGGAGTGGCGGGAGCCTAGTGTGTGTCCAGCAGTAAAGTGGCTGCCAGTAGAGAGAGCAGCAGGGTAGTGGCCCGGCCAGGTTGAGCAGTGCGGCCCGAGGTGCCGCTGTGGTCGGCAGGGGGCGGCAGGTTGCAGGCGGCGTAGGGCTCCAGGCAGCCGGCGAAGGCCATGACGTGCGCGATGTAGCTCTGCTCCTGCACGCCGTGCACCAGGTGCGCCTGCGGGCCGCGCGCGAACACCGCTACGTCCTCGCCGCCGTGCGTCTCGGCTGCCAGCGGCACTGCCGCCTGCTGCCGGTACGTCGGGGAGCCTGGCAAGACCAGGCGTTCAGGGCGATGGTCTCTACCAAGAGTTCCCTCTGCCTGGAACCCCGTTGGGCAACCCAAATGCACTCACCGCTCTCGTTTTCCGTGACATCGGACCGGACACCATTGTCCACTTTGTAGCCTGGGCCATTCCCATACAGGATGGAAGTGAAGGCACTGCCGTCCAGGGCCTTGTAGGGGGCCAGTCCTGCATGTAGAGAGAGAGGCGTCAGTACTCCGACTGGACTATATGTGGCCCGGCCAGGACTGTCACTGTCTTCATGCTGAGATCTCAACAAGGCAGGTGCAGTCATTACGCCCCTCGACAGACAGGAACTAAGGCTCAGGGAGACTTCTGCCATAAAATTGATGCAATAGTTGCCACTGTCCCTTGGCCTACCGAAGATGGAGGTCCCCCGATGTGTGGCACCACCAAAAGTGAAGACGTGGGAGTGGTCAGCGGTGACAAGGGTAAGTGTGTCCCGCTCACTGGTGAGCTGGCTCGCCTTCTCAATGGCAGAGTCGAACATGACGGCCTCAGTCAGTGCCTTATACGCTACGCCTTCGTGGTGACCGTGGTCAATGCGGCCCCCTGCAAAGAGCAGGTGGGAGGGGTGACTCTTGGTCCTGCCCTGGGTCCTCCACCCCTCTGTTCTGCCAGGCCCCAAGACTCACCTTCCACAAAGAGGAAGAAGCCCTGGGGGTTCCTGCTCAGCATGTGCAGGGCCACCTCTGTCACCTCCAGCAAGGAGGGGTCCTGGGTGTGGTTTCGGTAGGCCTCGTATCTCAAGTGCTCAGGCTCAAAGAGGCCTGAGAGAGAAAGAGCCCGTGGTGACCATGAGATGGGTGGTGAGAGGAGTCATGGCACACGTGCACCAATGCAGGCCATCTGAGGGGTGCCAGGTCAGAAAGTGGGGGTCATTACCCATGAGGTGGGTCACTGATGGGTCCTGGGAAGCCTGCATCAGCTGAGTGCGGTTCCAAACATATCGGGACCCCTGGAGCGACATGGTCAGCTCTTAGCACTAAATCCTGACACCCACAGCTTTCCCCTGGTTCTTGCCCTGTCCCCTGCTTGTGGGTGCCCATATCACCTGGTTCTTCGCCAGCCACTCCTGCACCAGGTTCCGTCCATCCAGCCTGGTTCCCTCCTGGGTGGTGTCAGTTGGGTATTCTGGGTCTGGGGTCCCCTTGGGAAACATAAACTTCCGGCCCCCACCAAGTATCACCTGTGGTCGAATGATCGGGCCAGATGGACTTGGAGCCTGATGGGTCCCCTCCTCCCAGACGGCCCTCAGTGAACCCTCAGTCGATGGGAAGGGCCCCTTCTGGGCTGGACGTTTTACATCCCTTACCCACCAAGATGCTGGCAGGCCTACCCCTCCGCCAGCCCCCTCCCCTTGCTACGGAAGCTCACATCAATGTCCATGTTGGAGATGAGCTGGGTGGCAATGTCTGTGCAGCCTTCCTCCCGTGCCGAGGCAGGCATGTTGGCATCTGAGTACCAGTTGCGGTTCACCGTGTGTGCGTATGCGCTGGCGGGTGAGGCGTGCTGCACTGATGTGGTTGTCACCACTCCCACAGATTTCCCTGGAGGTGGCAGAGGTCAGAGGCCTGCTCTTGACCTTGACCCAAAGCCCAGCTAGCTCCAAGCTCACCTGCTTTCTTGGCACGGTACATCACGGAGAGGACCTCGTTGCCATGCGTCGTGTTGCACCGGTTGTAGCGGGCACCCGCACTCAAGCCAATGGTTCTGTATTTGGTCTTGACCCCGCACAGGAAAGCTGTGGCCGTGCCTGCACTGTCTGGCACCTGTCTGTCCACGTTGTATGTCTGGGGCAGAGAGCTCAGTTCTCATCTGGGGCAGGATCCCATTGGGACCCAGGCCCGGGAGTTATCCCCATTTACCTAGGCTCCTAACAAGGTTCAGGCTCTCCTGGGTCCTTCTGTCTGCCAGTGTCCCCAGCCCCTTCCCCACTTCCTGCTGTGGAGGACTCGGGTGGCCCAGCACTCACCTTGGACAGGGCCAGGTATGGGAAGTGGTCCATGGCCAGGGGTGTTTCAGGCCCCGGTTGACCTTCCAACTGTCCTTTCAGGATCCGGGTGGCTGTCACCGTAGACACCCCCCATTCCTGAAGGAACAGAACCCTGTCAGGCCCAAGCCCCTGATTGGGCCTGGACCTGCAGTGGGTGCAGGCACGTGAGGGCCACGGCGGGGGGCAGGCCTTGCACGCTCACCGTCCCCCAGGAAGAGGATGAGGTTCTTGGCTGCTGTCTGAATGGGCTGCAGCTTCTTGGCTGTGTTCAGGGCCTCCGCTGCCTTTTGATTCCAGAAGGCTGGATTCTCCTCCTCCACTGGCCAAGGGGTGAGTGGTGACAGGGTCAGTCTGGGAGCCAGCCAGGGGGAGGGGGAGGAGTAGGAGCGCCTGGGAGAGTCCATTACCGGGGATGACACCAAGGCACAGCTGTAGCCTCAGGGCGAGGAGCAGCAGCAGCAGCAGCCAGGATCCCTGCATGTCTGCAGCTGGTGGTGGTGGGCTTGCAGCAGGATGGCTGGACTGGGACACCAGGGTACCAGCTACAGCACAGGCTGTCTGGGTTTAAATAGGCGTAGACTTTGTTTCTGGCCGTAAAGGCTCTCTGTCCCTCCCTAAGCCCCAGGCCCCCACCCTGGCCCCACCCCAGCCCAGGAACTGAAGCCTGGCTGGAAGGAAGCTGCAGGGTGTGGCTGACCTGATGGATTTCGGTGTCTCCTCCAGGCAGGGTGGAGCCTCCCACCCCTCTGCTCATGCTGCCTTTTGGGGACCCCTCCTTCCTTCCTGCCAAAAGCTGGGGTCAAGCTGTGTCCTGGGTGCTGAAGACAGGTAGGGCTCAAAACTCCCAGACTTGACCAGCCTCTCAGGTTTAGCCTCCTGATGCCAGGAGCCCATAGAGGAGGAAAAACACGCCCAGAGTGGCCTGACCGCCTTTCCCCCAGTTGTCTTCTCACCAGTCTTGGCCAGGGCAGGTGGGTGCCCAGGAATGTAAGCCCAGAGTGACTGTTGCGTGGGAAAGGTGGGTCTGGTGTTGACTGGTTATTTCACATGGATTGGGGGTCTTACATGTCTGCAGTTATTTCTGACCCCTTTCTAGGTCTTTCTGAGCAGCAGGCAGAATTTCCCTTTGTGGTTGACCCCTGTTTCCCGGGAGAGGTACACGGATGGCAGTGAGTCTGTTCTCCACCGGCCCTGGGCGCACCTGCAGGAGCTAAGAGGTTTCCTCCACCTCAGGCTGACTCCAAAGTATTCGGCAACCCGCTCCTGAGTGTATTTCAGGAGCAATTAAAGGCAGGGACTCAGATCTCTGTTCCCCAGGTTCACAGAGTTCTACTTACCACAGCCAAGAGGTGCGAGCAGCCCAGGTAACTTTGGATGGATGACTGGATAAACAAAATATGTCCCATCACACAATGGAAAACCATTCAACCTTTTTTTTTTTGTACTGGGGTTTTGACTCAGGGCCTACACCTTCAGGCATTCCATCATCCCTTTTTTGTGATGGCTTTTTTCAAGATAGGGTTTCAGGAACTAGTTTGCCTGGGCTGGCTTCAAACTGTGATCCTCCTGATCTCTGCCTCCGGAGTAGCTAGGATTATAGGCGACAGGCATGGGCCCGGCAAGCATTCAGCCTTAAAGAGGAGGAAGAGGAGGGAAACAGGATGTGGTATTGGCCTGCATTCCCACCATGTGAGAGGCCGAGGCAGGAGGATTGAGAGTTCAAGGACACCCTGAGCTATTGAGCTATGCAGGAGACTCCCGTCTCAAAAAAAAAGGAAGCTGACACGTGGTCCAGTGAATGTAGATGTACCTTGATTTCTGCTAAGCGTAATCAGCCCATCACGAAGAGATTCTTCCTGTGCAATTCCACTAATGTAGCTGAAGTAGGATGGTGGTTGTCAGGACTGGGGAAGTGAGGAGCTGCTTAGTGGGACTGGGTCTCAACTCTGAAGATGAAGACATTCTGGAGCTGGGCTGCACATCGGTGTGACTTCCATTTAAACATGGATAGGCTGGTACTTTTTGTTTTCCCAGCCTCATCTTGGGATGGGACCCAGGGCTTTGTGCATATGCTAGGCAAGCGCTATACCAGAGCTATGCCCCAGCCCCTAAGATGGCAATTTTTATGTTTTTTAAGTCATAATTTAATTTTTTTAAAGAAATAAAAGGGCTACATTTAAGCTCCGCTCATCCACAGCAGCCTCCTCTACTACTCAGACATCCTCACTGCCTGAGCCCCGGGCCTGATCCCAAGGCACCCTCACTTGATGTCCAGGGTCTTGCTGCCTGCCTGCCTCAGTCCCCACCTCCCGTGGTGCCTCCTGTGAATTAAAATTCTCTCCAGAAGCTACATCTATATTAAAGATCCTGGAGAAGTTGAGTGGTGGCACACCTGCAGTCCCAGCTAATTGGGAGGTCTGAGGCAGAAAGATGGCTTGGGTCCACAAGTTTGAGATCAGCCTGGGCAATATAGTGAGACCCCATCTCAAAAGAAAAATAATTCCCATATACTGTTTGACCTTGGATGAGTAGAACATGGTGGAGGGATGGAATGTATGTAGGTGGAGAGCCAAAATGGTTTCGGGCTATCTTAGGCCCCTGAAGTAGGCATTTATTTACCTTAACTTTTGTATCTGACTTAACAACATTCCTGTAAACTCAGGTGAAGTCAGGTTGTATCACTAGGTTTAGCAGACCTCCAGCCTCCACCAGCCCTGAAGCTAAGAACGCCATAAAGATAACGTCTGTTGTTCACCAATCAGTGCATTGGGTAAACATATAAATTTGTGACTTTCTTCTGTTCTGTGACTAGTGGAAGTTCACCTAACCTCTTCTCTGGTGGAATGTGCCATTCCTGGTAACCCGAACCGTGTTCTCAAGCCATGGGTCCCTTCAGTTGCCTTGCAATAAACTACTTTCTTATTTCCTTTAAAGCAGAGTTGTTCTTTGATGTCAACACCCCTCCCCCCAGGCAGTTTCCTAGGTCCTCCCTTCAGGACCAGTCCCTCAAGCTCCTGGGTGTCCTCTGAATCCCGGGAAGCCCCCACCCCGCAGCCTCCCACTTCCCGTTGGCACTCATTTAGTACTCCACCTGCTGCGTATTCTTGTTGAGGGCAAAAATTCAGGGCTCGCTGTCAGAGCTGCCTCTTTTGGGCAAGCTCTAAGTGATCCACTGGTTCTGTTTTCTGTTTACCAGGCTGACTGACACTCAAAATTGCACCACCAGTCTTCACTCAGAAAACCTTCCTGGTGACATGGCTCTCACCTTTTTTTTTTTTTTGGCGGTACTGGGGTTTGAGCTCAGAGTCTCACGCTTGCTAGGCAGGTGCTCTTACCACTTGAGCCACTCCTCCAGCCCTTTTTTGTGTCGGGTATTTTTGAGATAGGGGCTCTTGAACTATTTGCCTGGGCTGGCTTCGAACCGCGATCCTCTTGATCTCTGCCTCCTGAGTAGCTGGATTCCAGGTGTGAGCCACTGGCGCTCTACTCTCTCCCCTCTTCCATGGGAATTTTGCATTGCACGTAGTTTTAAGAAATAAGACAGAGAAGCCCTGACTACTTTGCCTAGTTCCCCAGTGACTTGGTTCACGGCCACTGCTCTGATTTCCTCGCTTTTACACACACACTCATGTGGGGTGGTTCTATTCAGTTTTATCATTTGACTATGATCGTGAAACCACCATCCTAGTCAAGTTACTGCACAGCTCCAACCGCACAGGACCCCTTTGTAACTACTTCCTATTTTCTGTCTGGACCCCAGGAAGCCAGTAGTGGGACCTGCTATTGAAATTTTTGTCACTTCTAGTAAGTTCTATCAATGAGATTTGCTTTTTTTTTCTCCCCATGCAACACAATTCCCTGGAGAATCCCAGCATGGCCCAGGAGTTGGGTGGCCAGGGTGCTCAGCAGCGTTGCGTGGGTCTGCTCCAGTGCGGCTCACCCTCCACCTGCTGGAGGGCGGTTGGCCGCCCTCAGGCCTGGCTGTTCTGAATGAAATGCTGTGCACACCCATGGGCAGGTGTTTGTATGAATGTATGTTTCTGCTCTTCTGGGGTCGTGCCCAGGGCGCAAATGCTGGCTGTATGACGTTTCACGTCATTTTGAGAGACTGCACCATTTTATATGTCCACCAACAGTGTGTGAGTTGTCAGCTTGTTGGGGGTAGTGGTGGAGGGTCTCACTGGGTATGTAGCTCAGGCTGGCATCCAGCTTGTGATCCTCCTGGCTCCACCTCCCAAGGGCTGGGATTACAGGCTTACACTCACCCAGCAGAGTGACCCAGCTTTGCTGTATCTGGAACCAAATCCGGAATCCCAGTGACTACCAGGCTAATCCCATATGACCTTCCCTTCATGGCTACAACAGTACTTATCTTTTTTAGGGTTGACGTGACACCATATTGATTCTGAAAACTTTTGTTTTTTATGTTAGTCCTTACTTTTTTCTATTTTTTCCACGGCGCTGAGGCTTGAACCCAGGGCTTCACGCTTGCTAAGCAGGCACTCTTGCTGCTTGACCCACTCTGCCAGTCCTTTCTGGGTCATGTGATGGGTTAGAGATAGGGTCTCTATTTGCCTCAGGCTGACTTCGAACCATATCGTCCAGATCTCTGCCTCCTGGATCATACTAACTGTCCTAAGTCTGCTTGTCTGTTCTAACAAAGGTATTGCACACTGCAGACTCAGCCCTGGCGGAAATAGCAGATACAGAAGAGTAACTTTTTTTTTTTTTTAACTGCAGTCCTGGAGTTTGAACTCAGCCTCAGGCTTGCTCGGCAGGTGCTCTACCACTTGAGCTGTTCCACCACCCGCCCAAGTAACATTGCTTTTGGTTTGCTTGCTTAAAATACATTTACCTTTTTTTTTCTTTTTTTTTTTCAGTACTGGGGCTTGAACAACTCAGGGCCTCCACCTTAAGCCACTCTCCAGCTCTTTTTTGTGAAGGTTTTGTCAAGATAGGGTCTCTGGAACTACTTTCCCAGGCTGGCTTCCAACCACTATCCTCCTGATCTCTGCCTCCTGAGTAGCTGGGATTACAGGCTTGAGCCACCAGCTCCCCAGCCCTTTGCCTTCTTCTGATGACTGGTGATGTGGCCTTCCCTTTTTAGTAGTTAAAGTTTCCCTTTGTTTAAGGGAAACCTTGGCTTGTTTAATGACAATATTAGGTAAAGAAGACCACATGCTGCATGTGGCTGTGGGAGAAATCATTAAACGGTGCATGGATGGGGAGGGAACGGTGAGAAATACTGGCTGTAAGGAGAGGAATTCAGTAGTCTGGGGCCTGAGGTCACATTCGCCGTCCCCACTTTCTGGGTGTCTTTGGGAACTTACTGTCTCCAAGCCTCAATTCTCTCACCTGTGAGATGGAAAAACAGTAGCTAAGTCACAGGCTGCCATGGGGACTTAGCTGGAGACCCGGCATGGTCAGCACTGCAGAGGCAGGGGAGGGAGACATGGCCACACCAACCTTCAGGCAAGTCT